AAAAATGTCGCTTTGACGACATTGCTTACATCCAATTTCGTCACGTTGACGTCACACAATCGCTTCGTTGCCAAATGACGCTAGAGTTACAAGAAAGATGTACATGTATTAAACACATTACCAACGAGCAATCCTGCCGAGCCCGCCGTGAGACCAAATTGGTTCTGAATAAATTTTGGTGTGAACGGAGTATACCCAGAAAGAACCAAAGTACTGGTTGTACGAGCACAGTTGATCCACATGTACGGATAATTCTTGAGTAATAACTTAGACGCCGGCCAAAAGTCACGCCATGTTCTACCAAATCCCTGCTGTTGGGCCACGAGATCTGACCCGTCAGCATGTGCCTGGGACCTTCGCTCATCTTTGATATATTTGGTGCCTGGAACAGATCAGAATAAGGCGAGTAACTAATACATTCGGGTGGACCTTTAGAAATTCAGGGAGGGTGGATACTGAAGAAAACATATCTACAACTAATGGAAATATATTGATAATTAATTATACAGCACCATCACAGAGAAAAACTCATCTATTGAAGTATTGCCCTCAAACTTCAATTGTACTACGACACTTACGCGCATTGTCATATTTGTCACTGCTATTAATCTCTCTAAATATAGAGAGTAGTATAAATTACCTGGTAGTACAGGGGTAAAAGCACTGATTGGAATAACCAATATAAATATTAATATTGCCGCAAAAACGAATCCTAGCCACCAAGCCCCTATCCAGCCATCGTCAGATGAATCGAGCCCCGTGCTGAAAGATTATTGAATAATTACGTTAAATCAATAGGTTTTTAATTTCAAATTGCATAGCGAGCTATGAAATATTTATCGCGATACTTTCAGGGTTTGTTGACCGTCACTCTCTTTTTACAAACTCTTGTGTACTGACTTCACGTGCGGTGGTTTTAGTAATATTCCTACTCACTCGACTGTAAGCTCTGTAAACAATGTTAGAGTCAGGGCGCCGACTATGAACCCAGTAGCAGGCCCAAGCACAGCCATTGTATTCAAAATTCCTAAACAAATCACAGATAAACATATTTATCATTTTTGATTACAAACATTAAATAATATAGAACACGTCATTCATTTGTGTTGTGTAATAGAATAGAATAGAATAGAATAGAATAGAATAGAATAGAATAGAATAGAATAGAATAGAATAGAATAGAATAGAATAGAATGAAAATGGAATGAAAAGAAATAC